GTTATAATGAGAGAAAAAAAATGAAATCATGATTTTTCGATTAAAACAGCAACTTTGCAGTGTTTTTTCGTATGTTTTTTATAGATGTATTTGCGATTTCTTGGTCTCATTTGGTAGAATGGAAGACATATACAGAAATAGAGATGATTTTGATTGGTTTTAGCACTGGAAATGGCTTGAAACTGAGCTCAAAGTAGCGGAAATGTTAAATTTTTGCCGATATTCAAGAGTAAACAAACGACCTCACACGTCTAATACACGTCAGCTGGTGGGTCTAATATACATTCACAAATATGGTGATGATATTTATATCAATCATTACAGTATTGCATAACAGTAAATCTTCTATTTTTTGGTGTGAATAAAAATTCATTATGTGAATAAAAAATCGAAATGGAATTATTTGTAAAGCCTCAAAACATAACTAATGAACAGAGGAAATGTTAGTTTAGTGCCAGGAATACCTACATTGTTCATTCTGGACCATTTTGAAATTGGAATATTTGAACTTTGTGTTAATTGGCCAAATTAACAATTTCGATCACTTTATTTTGTAGTTGAAACAGTTGACTTGGCGATTTCTTGTGCTCAATCGATATAATAGAAGTAATACTAGTGAAATAGCTAAGAATTTGGTTGATTGGAATAATGTAATTGGCCTAAAATGGGAGTCAAGTCGCAAAATCGCCAATTCGTAAATATCGCTGACACATCAAAATTCGCGGAGAGCATAATTTCGTCAATTTTCCACAAATTTCGTACTTTTTGTTTTATTACCTTCACAAAAGATTCTCTACGATTTCATAAGAAAAAATAACAAATTTTTTTTTTTTAAATTCTTGGACACTGGTGCGTGACTCCAGATTTGGGCCTTGGACCCTGAAAGGGTTAAATGCTAAAATAGCTGTGAATCTTTTCTAAAGGTAATGTCACCAAAAATGCAAGATTTGATATGAAACTTACAGAATTGTACAGGCGTGAATATGGAGGTCGGGAACATTTTACATAACTCTGATTTCACCCACTTTGAGACCTATTTTGGGACAATTCTAAGCAAGTCTCCTAGACGTGTTTTGGATAGATTGTGGGCAGTTTGGGTTGGGGGAAATTACTGAAGGAACCCGACCTCAAATAGGGTGGTCATCTTCAAGCCTGGATCAGTGAGATGCAAGTTTCCTATATAAACTGGTCGTTTCGAGCCTGGATTAGATTCAGGGGTCAGACGTCAGTTTCTCAAATAGGCTGAACTTTGAACTAACTCAGGAAGGCTAAATTCTACACAAGGCTTGTGATGTTTTGGAAAAGCAACTAGGGAGAATGGTGTGAAAGTAGTGTAGTTATACCAGAGATACAGATATAAGTTTCACGAGATATGATGGTATGCAGAGTAGTATAGTTTGTACCAGAGATGCATGTATAACTTTCTTGAGGTATGATGATATGAGAATAGTTATAGTTTTACTAGAGACACATGTACATTGCATTCTCAGTTGTTTTCTGCATTACTTGTCAAACAAATCAGTTTTTGAACAAGGAATCAGAGAAAAATGTCTTGGTTTTCGTATGTTCTCTTGGTTGTTGACTAGTGATGCGAACGGCTCGGGTTCACATGCTCACAGAATGTGCATTGGACAATGAATCAACAGCGGGAATCTGAGTCAGTATAGCCACTAACTCGTGTGCTATAAACAACTTCTTGAGCTTTTGTTGTGCATCTTGTGAAATTTTTTTTTTGTTTGCAGTTTTTTATTGTGAGATAAGCCATTGCCATTGTGCTTGTCAATGAAATGTGTGCTAAGTGGCGTGAAGTGCAGGAGTTTGCAGAAAATACCATCCAGACAAATCAGTAGCCATCCATCTCTCTAAACATGTACAGTGACAGAGTATTGTCTGAATTTAGACAAGTGTGTTAAAACAGAGCCTGAAACAAACCTCACTGGACAGGTTTTTAGTGAGACAAAGAACCAGTGAGCCAGAACAAGGTGTTAGTGGTGAAAAAGAAACAAAGAAGAGAAACAACATCAGAAGGATGGTTGCCTCACATATTAATAGAAGGTGACTTTCCTTCCAAGTAGTAACATCCCCCCTCCTCTCCTCCACCCCCCCTGCTTCCAGTATGCCATTAGCTCTCCTCTGACAGGTAAGACACAGTTAAATTTTCATTTACTGTACAGTATTTCAGTTAAAGTGTCTTTTAGTATTCATTTTTACAGTTTTATGTAGTAGTTAGTACATTTTTAATACGTATATTATATTGTCATTTGGGGTCTGGAATTAATTCATTCTGATTCATGAAATCGTAATGACACAATTGCAAATAAACTATACCACGGGTGGGGTTAGAACCCGTGATCAGAATTGAATTTCAACAACTGAGGTTCCACCTTGCTCAGAGGTATGATGGTTATAAGAAAAGTATAGTTGTACCAGACAGATTTGTCACTCTGTCTTTTAAGAAAATATTCATTGTTCACAAAATAATTATTCAATTCACAAATAACCCGCACATAGAAGAGAGGAGCATACGATGACGTTTCAGTCCGACTTAGTCCAAGTCAGTCCTAAACATCATCGTAAGCTCCTCTCTTCTGTGTGCAGGTTACAGTGGACCCCCACCCAATGGTGGCACCAAGTAACAGCAAATTCGTCTAACAGCGCTCTTTGGAGTTAAAAAATTGGCTCTACCAATGACGAAAAGCTCCTCTAACGGCATGCGGCCCGAGCGGGCCCAGCCACTCCAAGACTCCATGTATAGCCAGTGTGCCAGTGTTTACAAGCCGTTGCGGTCGATTTCAAGTGTACCTGCGATATATTTTGTATTCCAGTGTTTTTTTAGTTCTTGTAACTGCTAAATAAGCCACCATGGGTCCCAAGAAAGCTTCTAGTGCTAAAAGGTGAGACATACTCTTGAAATACTATCATACCATGGTCAGCTGCTGATAAAAACCAAACCATATCCCCGGCCAGGATTGAACCCGCGGTCATAGAGTCTCAAAACTCCAGCCCGTCGCGTTAGCCACTAGACCAGCTAGCCACAATAAGATTCATCCAACTAGGTATATTTCTACACCATAGGAAGGTTAGCACAGACACCTCTGTGACCACAAATGCAAGTTTTTACAGACGAATCTCCAGCTAGCGTGGCCGTGACGAACTCTAGCTCAAGTCCCTTAAAACTTGCATTTGTGGTCACAGAGGTGCCTGTGCTAACCTCCTATGGTGTAGAAATATACCTAGTTGGATGAATCTTATTGTGGCTAGCTGGTCTAGTGGCTAACGCGACGGGCTGGAGTTTTGAGACTCTATGACCGCGGGTTCAATCCCGGCTGGGGGTATGGTTTGTTTGCAATCGTGTCATTACGATTTCTTGAGTCATGTTGACGGCAGTGAAGGGACTTGAGCTAGAGTTCGTCACGGCCACACTAGCTGGAGATTCGTCTGTTAAAAACTTGCATTTGTGGTCACAGAGGTGCCTGTGCTAACCTTCCTATGGTGTAGAAATATACCTAGTTGGATGAATCTTATTGTGGCTAGCTGGTCTAGTGGCTAAGCGACGGGCTGGAGTTTTGAGACTCTATGACCGGGTTTCAATCCCGGCCGGGGGTATGGTTTGTTTGCAATCATGTCATTACGATTTCTTGAGTCAGTGCTGCTGTTGGGAACACCGGCCAATGCTGCTGGGGTTTCTGTAAAACTCATTTGCGTCACTGAGGTGCTGTGCTGCAACCTTCACCTGGTGTGAAAAACCATTGGATGAACTTTTTTGCTGCAAACCGACCATTTGAGCTCTTGACCGCGGTTAACCCCGCCGGGGATGGTGTTGCTTTTCATACACTGATCAGCTGCTGTTGCAACACCGTCAACTGCTGCTGCACCCACTGTCAACTGTTGCTGTACCACTGTCAGCTGCTTTCTGCGCAAAACCAGTCGCTGTACTACCCTTTAGATGTGCGCAACACCATATTGTTGGTGCTGGCTTATCGAAATTACCCAAGACATCAATTGACCCAGAGTGTTCTGCCCCCCCAGGCATACCACCAGCAGAAATGTGCCCCGTGCTTACATCGAGGATGTGCAACTTTTTTTTTGGGGTCCATTAACCTTGTCCCCCAGGATCCCGAAGCTGCTTCACAGAGTCCTTTGTCCTTTAACCCCCAGGTGGGAAAAAGGAAACAATAAAAAACCTGGAACTACTGCTCATATAGGTGAATTTAAGGCCAGCAAAGGTTGGTTTGAGAGATTTAAGAATCATAGTGGCATGCACAGTGTGATAAGGCATGGCAAAGCTGAAAAATTCCAACCCCGACAAGTGTTCAGTTGTGATGAAATAGGGCCCGTTCTGGAAGAAAATGACGAACAGGACCTACATTACTCAGGAAGAAAAGGCACTCCCAGGACACAAGTCTATGAAAGACAGACTAACTTTCTTGTTGTAATGCTAGTGGGGATTGCAAAGTGAAGCCTTTACTCATGTATCACTCTGAAAATCCCAGAGTGGTCAAGAAAATCAGTGTCTATCACTCAAACAGTACTCTTCAACAAAGGTAAGTGTCATTTTAGTATTTATGTATGTATGTATTGTGCATGTCTAATTGTTTTCTGTGTAGGGAAATGTATATTTCATGTACAAAAAAATTATTTTTTTAATACTGTTGGCTGTCTGGAACGGATTAATTGGATTTCCATTATTTCTAATGGGGAAAATTAATTCATCCAACGGCAAATTCAACTAACGGCTAGCTCTCTGGAAAGGATTAATGCCTTTGGTCGAGGGTCCACTGTATTTGTGTATTGTCCCAGTCACGGTATTGTGCGTTTTTTTGTTAATTTTTCAGTTTGTCATTACACATGATTACTTATATTAAGAATGTAGTAAAAACTGAAATTGTATTATTTCCTTGAAGGTTAGGGCCCTGGTGAGATGGCTGAGGGTGGCGACAACAGTGGTGGTGGGACAGTTGGTGCTTTTCCTGACCTAGTAGCACAGTGTTTACACCGCTATGGACTTCACGTTGTTTACACATCCAAAGAAAGTTATACTTCTGGCCATAGGATCCTTCCTTGTTTTGTGGTATGTATTTTTATTTTTGACAAACATTTCTAATTTAAAATATTATTTCTATATTCATAAGATTCTGTTTATTTGTATGAAAATAAAATCTGCTGTTTGATTGTAAAACAAATGCCAAGGAAAATATAAATATTAGGAAAATTTCAAAAGAAACCAGGTACAGTGGACCCCTGGATTTCGTAATATTCGGAAATATTAATGGTTTTTTCATCAAAATCTTGGCTCAGTGATCGTCATTGAGCTCGGTAATAGTCATTTGTCCTGAACGCGTCCACACGGCAACAGCGGCCCGACACTCAGTGTGCCATTGTTTATCAGCCAGTGAGCATGATCCCACACATTCATATGATACATTTCGTATTATTCCATTCATTTTAGTGCTTGCAACTGCTAAATAAGCCACCATGGGCCCCATGGAAGTTCCTAGTGCAAGTCAGCCAAAGGGCTAAGAGAGAGGGGAGAATGTGCCTAATTCAGTGATTCTGCGATATGTACGATACTAAAGCAGCAGGAGTCGATAAAGGCTGTAGCGCCAGCCAGCGATAAAGTATAGCATTAACAGTGTAGCAAGTAAGTTAAACAATTAATCTTTAGAAAAAGGACAGCACAAAACTGACTCCGCGCCTCTGTCGCCTTCACCACCACTATGTAAGACTTATCTTTCAGTGGCCCTTTTTCACTCAACAGAATGAACACACCATCCTCGCCACATACATAATGACATACATGTATTTTATTCATTCTAGAGTATATATCTTTGTTTCTATATTATTAATATTTTTTTGTCATATTAGGTGAATTGTGCTAGATAAATAAGCCTTAGAGTTGTATTAGTGTCATTTTAAAGGGGACTATATTGTCCTGTCTTCAACACTCTCCTACCGCCGCCACAATTCCCTAAGCTCTAGTATATCTACCAGGGGCAATATTGACCCCAAAATAACTTTTTCTTAAAAATTTAATACTTGAAATAAACATTTCTTTTTTCTTTTTAGTTTTTAATAATTTTTTTTTTGTAATCATTATTGCTTACCTGGATGATGACTAAACAAAATTACCCTGAACACTGATAAAACCTATTTCATTCAGTTTGGAAACAAAGCTGCAAATGATCCAATTAACATTATGCTAAATGGTTTATCAGTCACAAGACTCACAGAGGGAAAATTCTTAGGTATCCACATTGACAAATAGCATTAAGTTCCGGACCCCACCCTACAAAAAAATCACCAAGAAAATCTCCATGATGTAGGCATATTATCAAAGATAAGGTACTACATTCCACAATCAGCTCTCCTGGCACTGTACCATTCACTCATTTACTCTTATCTTACATATGGAATTTGTGCCCTGGGGATCAACAACATCCAATCACCTAAAACCCCTAATAACCCCGCAAAAGGCCAGCAGTAAGAATGATAACAAATTCCCCCTCCCACCAGCATACTCCACCAATTTTCAAAAGTCTGAATCTGCTCACCATTAAGAACATCCATTTCTTATTTATGTGCCTACTACATAACAGAACAATACACGCAAATATTTAAAACCCCCCCTCAAACTTTTCCTCACCAACCTAAACAGGACACATAACCACAACACAAGACACAGATCTCTTTTTGATATACCTCGTGTCCATATCACACTGTGTAAAAACTCTATGCACATAAAGGCCCCAAAATATGAAATTCATTACCAGAAGATATTAAAGTAACCCAGTCTGAAAATCAATTTAAGACTCTTCTCAAAAAACCACTTAATCACCCTAGATAAATGCTAAATACTCAGTACACATTTACTCACCTATGTACTCCCACATCATAACTGAAACAATCACATTGAACCTTTTATCCATTGTTGACAGGAATATAATTGAATTATTGTTTTTCACAGAGCATTTTAGAATATAAATATGTATATCTTTTTAATTATACAAATTTTGATTCATTTATAATTAATATTCTACTGTACAACTATGAAATAATTACTTTACTACTGTACAACTATGATATACTACTCCTTAATATTAAGTAGACTGTAAGCCAATAATATTAAGTTGGCCCATAATGCCTAGACATAATAGAGGCTCTCATTGTATTGTAACCCACTATTGTATATACACAATCTCAATGTAATGTTTGCAAAGACATTAAATAATAAATAAATAAATAAAATTTTGTTGAACACCATATTTACTACCAGTCCAGTTTACTTTTGTACATTGATCACTATATTTTCTATATTTTGCTCTCTTTAGATCTTTTTTAATTTTAATATACCATTACTTATATGATATGATGTAGGGCGAAATGACAGTAGTTTGTTGGATTATGTATTGGTAGATAAAAGACTGTTGAGTAGACTTCAGGATGTACATGTTTATAGTGGGGCCACAGATATATCAGATCACTTTCTAATTGTAGCTACACTGAGAGTAAAAGGTAGATGGGATACAAGGAGAATAAAGCATCAGGGAAGAGAGAGGTGAAGGTTTATAAACTAAAAGAGGAGGCATTAGGGTAAGACATAAACAGCTATTGGAGGATAGATGGGCTAATGAGAGCATAGGCAATGGGGTCGAAGAGGTATGGGGTAGGTTTAAAAATGTAGTGTTAGAGTGTTCAGCAGAAGTTTGTGGTTACAGGAAAGTGGGTGCAGGAGGGAAGAGGAGCGATTGGTGGAATGATGATGTAAAGAGAGTAGTAAGGGAGAAAAAGTTAGCATATGAGAAGTTTTTACAAAGTAGAAGTGATGCAAGGAGGGAAGAGTATATGGAGAAAAAGAGAGAGGTTAAGAGAGTGGTGAAGCTATGTAAAAAGAGAGCAAATGAGAGAGTGGGTGAGATGTTATCAACAAATTTTGTTGAAAATAAGAAAAAGTTTTGGAGTGAGATTAACAAGTTAAGAAAGCCTAGAGAACAAATGGATTTGTCAGTTAAAAATAGGAGAGGAGAGTTATTAACCCTTTGAGGGTCGACAGGCCCTCTCCGAAACTCGTTCTCAGGGTCGGCCAAATTTAAAAAAAAAAAAAATTATTTTCTCTTATGAAAAGATAGAGAATCTTTTCCCGATCATAACGACACCAAAAGTTTGAAATTTGATAGAAAACTTACGGAATTATGCTCTCGCAAAGTTAGCGGTCTCGGCGATGTTTACGCATCGGCGATTTTGCCCACTTTGAGCCCCATTTTCGGCCAATTTCACTGTACTAGTCGACAAAAAACATGAATATTTCGCTAGAACTCCATTTTTTTCTATCGAATGGGTGCAAGAAACCACCCATTTATAAAATTTAACTATCCAGTTACAGTGGTCAGAATTTAGCAATTTTGCCAATTTCACACAAATTTTCAAAAGATGCCAATTTCGGAATAGGGTCCAGAATAAACAAGAAAGACATTCCTGGCACTAAAATGACATTTCCTCTAGTCATTAGTCACGTCTCAAGGCCCCCTTATATTCTTTTGCTTTCCACTTTGAATTTTTATTCTCACAAAAAATATAAGATTTACTGTTATGCAGACTACTGCATTAGTGTAAAAAATGGTATAAATATTATTGGTGCACTTGTGAAAGAATATTAGACTCACCAGTTGACGTGTATTGCACGCTTGCACGATTTGTTTACTTTTGAAGTTTGGTAAAAATCGAACATTTCTGCTACTTTGAGCTCAATTTCAAGGCACCTTTCATTTAAAACCAGTCAAAATCATCTCAATTTCAGTAATATGTCTTCCATTCTATAAAATGAGACCAAGAAAACTAGAATACAAAAAATAAATACCATACGAAAATACACTGCAAAGTCGCTGATTTATTAAAAAAAAATGGAAAAAGTTTTTTTTTTCTCCCTTATGCACTGTTTTGCTGCAGGATTTTTTTTAGACTGTGCACACTGACCACATAGACCCATTCTTTCATATGAAGGCCTACCAGCTTTCCCCACTAGATTTGAGGTCGCTAGAATTTATGAGTACTAGTACGTCAAAAACCCCTACGCGGGAAGACGTACTAGTACGACGAAAACCCTCAAAAGGGTTAAATGGAGAGTTAGAGGTATTGGGAAGATGGAGGGAAATTTTGAGGAATTGTTAAATGTTGATGAAGATAGGGAAGCTGTGATTTCGTGTATAGGGCAAGGAGGAATAACATCTTGTAGGAGTGAGGAAGAGCCAGTTGTGAGTGTGGGGGAAGTTCGTGAGGCAGTAGGTAAAATGAAAGGGGGTAAGGCAGCCAGGATTGATGGGATAAAGATAGAAATGTTAAAAGCAGGTGGGGATTATAGTTTTGAGTGGTTGGTGCAATTATTCAATAAATGTATGGAAGAGGGTAAGGTACCTAGGGATTGGCAGAGAGCATGCATAGTTCCTTTGTATAAAAGCAAAGGGGATAAAAGAGAGTGCAAAAATTATAGGGGGATAAGTCTGTTGAGTATACCTGGTAAAGTGTATGGTAGAGTTATAATTGAAAGAATTAAGAGTAAGACGGAGAATAGGATAGCAGATGAACAAGGAGGCTTTAGGAAAGGTAGGGGGGTGTGTGGACCAGGTGTTTACAGTGAAACATATAAGTGAACAGTATTTAGATAAGGCTAAAGAGGTCTTTGTGGCATTTATGGATTTGGAAAAGGCATATGACAGGGTGGATAGGGGGGCAATGTGGCAGATGTTGCAAGTGTATGGTGTAGGAGGTAGGTTACTGAAAGCAGTGAAGAGTTTTTACAAGGATAGTGAGGCTCAAGTTAGAGTATGTAGGAAAGAGGGAAATTTTTTCCCAGTAAAAGTAGGCCTTAGACAAGGATGTGTGATGTCACTGTGGTTGTTTAATATATTTATAGATGGGGTTGTAAGAGAAGTAAATGCGAGGGTCTTGGCAAGAGGCGTGGAGTTAAAAGATAAAGAATCACACACAAAGTGGGAGTTGTCACAGCTGCTCTTTGCTGATGACACTGTGCTCTTGGGAGATTCTGAAGAGAAGTTGCAGAGATTGGTGGATGAATTT